GCAGTCTCTTGAAGTTTATTGTACACGGTGTTAGTGGGTGTGCGTTATTATACTTAGGCCAACGAGCTAGAATATACTACATAGAGTGGCTGTCTTTATAGACAGCGCTCTTAGTGGAGCCTTGTAGAACTAGTACCGCAATGATTTTTGTAGTCAAAACATACGAGTGCCGGTGTAACCGTCCGTAACCAGCGCCTAACCTATTGCTAGAATTCTTTGTTTCCCAGAGGGCTCTGCTTTGAGTGCAAAAAAACATGGCTTCAATTTGCTTCAATGATGAAGGCGCTTCAGTCACTCTATGTAGTATATTCTAGCTCGATAAAAGGCTAATAATGAATTGCTACATCCCTGTGGTTCCGAAATATGCTGTAACGGATATTTAAGTATATACATACGAGCATATTGACTGAGGTGGGAATACTACGCGAATGATATCTTACGCACATAAACGATGAGTAATATAATCATAATACAATAGATCGTTACACAATGCCTTCGTACCAGAGCATTATTATGCTGTTAACTGGAATGTAGCGGGAATATCTAGCGCGTATTCACAGAGTCGTGAATATTATAAAATAGAAGCTACTCACAACATATGTGAATGTTGATTTCAGTAAGAAATGCTTCCTGACACGTGAACTTTAGAAGTCGCGAGATCATTACGTTATCAGTAATGCCAACGTGGGCACATTCTCACCCTTCGAGACTATTTTAAGACAGAAATGCTCTTAAAAAATGAATTTCATGTATCGTTCGCTTTGTCTAATTGCTCGTAAAATTAGAAGTTGCACTCGAACTTCTCTCGTTTTCGTAGCTCCAACCAAATTAGACTGCAGTAGTTTGCAGTAAAAGTTGATGGTTGATGCGGTATATCACACACGAAGGTAATTGCGTAGAAGTTAGTAGAACCTCATAAATCGCGGTTGCGGTCCAATTCGAGACTTAAACAGAGGGTAATCATTAAGAACTTAGTAGCATGTAGACACGGCGGCAGTGGATGCGAGTAACCACACCTATTTGGAATGTACTTTGATATCCTGCTGCGCACAGCAGTGGTGAATGAGAAATGTGATCATGCAGACACTGGTAGTATGCTCTAAAGGGCGGGATGGTGGGGATGAGAAATATTGCGTAGGCACAGAAAGTAATTATTCAGTTTGCGGTACACCCCTACGCTCGGCATATGTTGACACGAACAGTTTCATTCACAAAGGTATCAACGCATGCGTACATGGGAACGTAAGAAACAGGTAGATTGTTTTACAATAAAAGTAGATAAGGAGCTTGTATCTGACAGGTAATTACAGTAGTTTCATATTAAGATTATTTAAATATATTAATATTTTACATTACACTCTGTGTATTAATACTCTGCAAAGAGTGTGATGATTGAGAACTTAATGACCGGCTTTCAACAGTTTTATAGATGAATTTCATGTATGAAAAACGTGCTTCAAATGTAATCACGAACATTTTATGCATAGGAATGGAGCTAGAAAGTATTATGTTGTGAGGAAATGCCATCGTCGAGTACTTCCTGTATCACTACTGACGTAGATGGTGTACGCAAAGCTTTATGAGTTTTTTTGCATACGCTAATATTCCACTTTTCATGAAAAATGCATGATAGAGACCTCCTATGTATTCAATAAGAAAGATTAATAAGCTATAACAGTGATCGGAGTAACGGGGGCGGGGATCATTGCACTTAAGTCGCCCATTTCCGAAGCCGATCAAATATGTTCACAAATATAATTTGTGCTTTTTTGTAATAACGAGTCATTCCGTATGTGAATTTATTACTTTATTGATAACTAATAAATCAGCAAATAAAAATAAATTTTAAATTTGGTATAAATAACATTCTTTTTGCCGGAGAGTATCAAATGAGCTAGACACAATACCTAGAGTTTCCCAATCATTATTTTACAAACGCTAAGTAAATATATTGATCCTGACACTCCAAAACCATACCGACTAGTGTTTCGTTTACAGCTGTCAGATCCGCGGCCGTCAGATTCTAAGACTCGAATTCCGATCATATATGGCTGGGTCTAATTCGACTACTGTCTAGAGGAGAATTCTAGCGGCCAGCTGCTCTGATCCGTAGTTTTTTCGATCAAGATCAGGAGAATGCCGGAACAGTGCCCTAACAAGCCGGCCATAGACGATCTTTCCTTCCTCTTTCTTGTCCTATCTTCTCTCCTTACGTACACGCACTTACATTTACGTGCCCTACACTATGATACATGCCGGGAGACCACGCGGGAGCTTAGAGCTTGTCCCTTCACACACAATTATACAGAAGGGGAAGAATACTGCCACTTTCCTGGACAAAACATGCACTACACTAAAGGGACCACTGATCACAGACGTCTACATGCCTGAAAAATCATTCAATCAATGGACCCCAAATCCAGAAATTTCATTTCAATCACCCTGACTGTATGAAGCATAATTGTATTTGTTCTTCTTGTTAAGGATATTCTTTGTAAAGGAGAGGTTCGTAAAAACAAAAAGAACAATCTTAACAAATGCAGCGAGGGTGGTTTGCCCTATTTTTCAGCATACTATTATGCATTCGAGCTAGTAAAACGCATCAATATACAACTAAAAAATTGTTGATCGCGTTACTTTTCTGAATTAATCAGCGGCATAAAAAGAACTCCCACATAAATCTGTAACCTTCAAGAACGCAACACCTGCTATTTATAAGAAATGGCCGAGTGTTTCACTTGAAGTTTCATCGTCTGCTGAAGTAATAGCGTTTACATATTCTCTCGAATTCAGAAGTATCAAGTTATATCTATGAAGTGCATTGCTTGTTATTTCTTGATAATATTTATTATTCACATTGAGGCAGTTTTGTAAATATTTTGTTAGAAAAGTCACAGTTTAATCGTTTTATTCACATGTAATGTCGTTCCTATCCTCTGATACTCGCCCAAAACTTTATGTGCCTTCCAACTTTGTTTGCAATGTGCCAAAACACCTTAGATATTATGAGCAGATAATGACTTATTTCTATGCAAAGTTTTCGTTCTATTTAGAGCAAAGGTTCATACTCGAGAATTTTCATGAATGATTTAAATTTGCCCTGTTCTCCGTAGGATTACAGAAGATCCTTATTTCCGATTTAAGTAACCCGTTATATCGACCTCTAAATTATTCACATGTGATTAAGTGCTTCTGTATCCAACAAATCGTTCACTAATTTTCAAACTCATGAAAATTTACCACGCACGGAGCGATCTATCAACGCGGACACAAAACATCCCCCCTCCTTCTGCCGTTTCTTGCCAACTCATACGCATAAAAAAGAGGGAAATATGCGGTTCCTAACGATGTGAATATTGTAACGCCGGAGCTGAAGTGTGTGCGTTCGTGTGTACGAGTAAATTATTCGGTGCGAATATTAAAGTTTAATACCCGCGCCCTTCGCAATACCGGAGGATAAAATACGCGGTGGGGAAGCTTGCGAGAGTAAATAAGGCTGAGAGAGGCGGAACAGCGGCGGAGGTGGTGGCGTCGCATCGCGGGAGGGGAGGGGAGGGGATGGGAGCGG